AAAAAAAAAAAAAGAAAAGAAAAACTCAACCTGTACCCAAACAAAAATCTCAAATTTCTTCCCTCGTTAAATAAAAAAATCATTTATAGACTGTTACAACATAGCAGTTGCCATAACCTGTCAAATGTAAACCCTGACCATACTCCAGTAAATTTTATCTTAAAAAAAAAAGTTCCGCACACCTGTAGTCCCAGCTACTGAGGAGGCTGAGGCATCGGTAGGATCCCTTGAGCACAGAAGCTACTCTCTAGCCTAGCCAACATAGTGAAAGCAGGTCTCTAAAAAAAGAAATTTAAAAAAAATTTTTTTTTAATATTTTAAACCTTATTTTATTTTAGAGACAGGGTCTCACTCTCTTGCCCAGGCTGGAGTGCAATGGTGTGATCACGGCTCACAGTAGCCTCAAACTCCTGGGCATGCCACCATGGCCCAGCTGATATTTCTTATTTTTCGTAGAGATGGCGTCCTGCTATGTTGACCAGGCTGGTCTTTAACTCCTGGGCTCAAGTAATCCTCCTGTCTCAGTTGCCCAGTGTGTTGGGATTACAGGCATGAGCCACGGTGCCCAGCCTGAAACCTCATTTTAAAAGTTTATATCAGACCAGGACCCCAAGATGGAGTCAGCTGTACCAGTGAAGAAGAAACTCCTGGATGTCAAACTAGTGGAACTGCCAAACTAAATATTAATGCGTGATCTCACACAAGAAGGCACTGTTGCAGTGTTCAAAGAGGTTACTACAGGTATTACAACAAGTACTCCAACGTGAAGAAACGGGGCTTGATGGGAATTCTGTGGTGCTGGCAGCTTCTGTGCTTTTCAGCTACTGCCTTTTTGAAAAGGAACACAAGCATGGGCAGCTACAGAAGTAAACCTGAAGAGGGCCATTGCGGAGCGCTGGCTCCTGGATAATCTCCCTAGTTTAATGTCAGCTGATTAGCAACCTTAATTCCCTCTGCACCCCGATTTTTCCCTTGTCATGTAACATATCATATTTACAGGCTTCAGGGATTAAGAAGTGAATATCCTTGGGGAAACCATTATTCTATCTTCGTTGGTTCAAATAATTCAGGGTTTGTTCATTCAGTGAGGTCATTTTATTGAGCATTTAATATATTTTAACTTCTTGTACGCTCTTACGGTCACAAAATAACAGAATCCTATCTCATTTGCTTATATGTAGCTGACAATTCATTAATCAGTATAGTTACTGAAAGTTACTTGAACACAGAGACCATACATAAGTAACTCTCCCTATACACTGGTGTAGTGAAATTTCATTAAAGGCTCTTTTCTTCTTTGACACACAGTTATGCTGCTGATGAGAAATTTTACTATGAAAACAATGTGATGTAGTGAAAAAAGTTAGTTAGGTTTTTTTTTTTTTTTTTGAGACGGAGTCTCCCTCTGTCACCCAGGCTGGAGAGCGGTGGCGCAGACTCGGCTCACTGCAACCCCATCTTCCGGGTTCAAGCAATTCTCCTGCCTCAGCCTCCTGAATAACTGGGACTACAGGAGCCCGCCACCACGCCCGGCTAATATTTGTATTTTTAGTAGAGACGGGGGTTTCACCATGTTGGCCAGGATTGTCTCGATCTCTTGACCTTGTGATCCACCCGCCTCGGCCTCCCAAAGTGTTGGGATTACAGGCGTGAGCCACCGCGCCCAGCCCTATCTTATTATTTCACAAACCAATCCTGGAGGCATGTTTGGAGTTGCCTAATTTTCATGTACACTTTTTGATAAGGAACTAAGAAAAATAGCTTGCTGAAAACAAGGGAGACTGAGTCCAGAACTGAATGAGAAGCACATGGTTTCTTCATCCTCTATCACCAGGCTGTCTAACGAGGCTGAAGAAGTACTATCCATAAGTAGCGCGTCAGGGGCAAACAAACAAAATCGCATATGGACACTAGTGTGAAATTCGAGAAATCCGAGGCGGGTTAACAACAGCAAGCAGATCACCAGGCCGATCTTCCTCAGGTCCCAGGTTGGCACCACAGCGCCCGGGAGGAATCCCCACGGAGGCGCGCCGGTCCTACCGGCCTCACTCCCTACCTCCTGGAGGACCGGAGTCCCGCTCCTTTCCCTCAGCGATACATCCCCCGTACCGGTCCACTCCCTCACCGTGAGTCGAGGACTACTTCTCCAGACCAGACGACTGACACACACTGCCAAAGGCCGGCTCCAAAGCGCCCGTCCTGCGACTGCGTAAAAGGCTCGGGTCATCCGGCCGGAAACGACTCAACGCGCAGCCGCCGCGGCCTCCAACCACCGGCCGGCAGAGGGGGCGCTAGACAGCCCTCGATCCGCTCGCCGGGGTCCTGTGGAGGAGGAGGCGAGCCGCAGCGCCGCAGGAACGAGCCCAGGGAGGTAGGTTGTCGTGGGACTCGGCCCGCCACCCTGGCAATTCCAGTCAAACGGCAAGCCAGACTCGCTTTGCCGGCCCATTTCTCTCCTGCCCCTGCAGCCGACAGGAATGGAACAGTCCCGCGGGGGGGGGGGACTGTGGAAGGCGCACGCGCGAGGGTTGGAGGGTCGAGTCGGGGCTGTGCTGGCAGCGGCTGCTTTGGCGGCGGTTGGTGGCCGTGGGGGCGGGAAGAGGAGGTGGAGGAGGCTTGGGCTCGCGCAGCTTAAGGTACGCGTGAGGGCCTGCGCCGGAGCCGGCTTGACAGGGCCTGAGGGGGAGTGGGGGACTGGGCGAGGAGGTTCCCGTGGGTGAGCGCGTACGGGCTGGCTGGCGCGCTGGGCGGCCGAAGGTGGTGGTTGGTGGGAGCAGCCAGCGACTGGCCCGTAGACACTCGTACGCTTGCGGGCGGGCGTGCGCGCTACGCGGCCGGAGTCGGGCGGAGCGGGGGACGGTGGGGAAGAACGTGAGGAGGGAGGAGTGGGAGGTTGGGGGGGCGCTAGGCGCCCTTCGCTCCCTCCCTCTGGAGGAGCAGCCGCCGCCACCGCCGCCACTCTGCTGCCGCCGCCGCCGCCGCTCCCGCCGCCATTTTGGGTTCGTTTTGCGGAGGGGAGACGATCCCAGTCTCGGTTGCGGGACCCGCCTCCCCTCAGTTTGCCCCCTTTAGCCTCCACCTTTCCCTTCTCCTCTCTCGCATTTCCGCCAGTCAGCTTACCCGCTGGCCGCCTCCTGACAAGCGGGAGGGATCCGCCGTGGACCCAGGGAAGCGGAGGAGCCTGGCGGCCACCCCCTCTTCCCCACTTCCCTGCACTCTCGTCGCTCTCGGCCTCGGCCTCCGACACGGTGAGTAGAACGATTTGGGCAGGCCTTCGGGCCTAAGCACTCTCTCAGCGATTGAATCCTGGGCTTCCTGGGAGCCACTGTCATCTCCCGGACCTGGACCTCCGGGAGAGCAGTGGTGAAGATGGGGGAGGGGAGAGCAGGGAGGGGGCTCCTGAGCCTACCGGGAAGTCCCTCCAGGCGGGGTGAAGGGGTGTCCCTGACAGGCGGACTCCCGGAGGGGGCTGGAAAGTAAGCGAGTGGAGGCGGAGTCGTCTGTGCCCCTGACAGGTTAGTTTGTGTTTGTAGGCATGATCGGAGCCTCCCCCATAGTCCAGTTTGTGTGTGTTTAATTAAGGGATAAGAGTGTTCGGGGACACGATCCTGAGAGGGGAGTTTACCTGTGTGACAAGGTCTGTGGTGTCCCTGCCGCGTTGAACGGTATGTAGGAACGGCAGGATGATCTCAGTGTTGTAAGTTTAATAAATGTCACTGATTAGTTTGTACATGGAAAGAGGTGTTTTTGGTCTAGAAGACAGATGGTCTGTTGATGTGTAGCGGCTGTGTTGGTGTGTGTATGCGAGGATGGAAAGTGTTTCCGGAAGAGTTTGCCTTTATTTGTGTAAGTGTAATGGAATTCCCCTTATAAGTTAGCTTATTTCTTGAATAAATGTTGGGAGGTTCCTTGCAGGTTGATATGTGTGTGTATTTTAGGGATTGGGAGCCCCTAGTTACTTGTTGGGAAAGAGTGGCAGTGGTAGTGTTCTATACAGCGTGTGTCTGTGAGGTCATGGAGGGGAGAAACTTAGCATAGCCAGTTGTGGTCTTAATAGTTTGTGCCTTTGGTTAGAGTGAGTTGTGTAAATGTGAAGGCCCAAAATATCTTTAACAGAATCATTGCTACAAAGCTGTAAAGAATGGGTGGCCTTATTTGTTGTCGCGGGTTTATAGTAATAGTTTACAAATACAATAAGAAAGCGCTTTCAATTTCTTTGTGATACTAAATCTCTGTGAAAATGGTAGGATGCTTTCTTCCATTTTACAAAATAGTTAATTTAGGCATAAGGAGAGAACTTTTCCAAGGCCGCATATTAAATTGGTGACAAAGTTGAGACTGTAACTCCCATATTTTCACTACTACTGCAGCAGTATATTCAGCATACCATGGTGCCTCAGGAAGTCTTTGTCGGCAAATCTGAGTATGTTGGAAAGATAGGAGCACATATGACTGGTTGGATTGTATTTGGAGGAGACCGATTGTGTCAGATACGTATATGGAAAGTAGATGTCCTTGCCCGGTCTGACCTGTATGAAATGCATATCCATGGCTATTTTATTTTGTTTATGGGAGAAGCAGAGCATTTCTGACACTTGAGGTTGTATATGTGAGGGAGAGGCGGCTTTCACAGCTTAACCTCTACCAGAGCGGCTGCATGGGTGCTGACAGCTTAACTTGAAATCTGTGGGAGGAAAGATCCTTTTTCATTCATTCAACAAATATTTGTTGACTGCCTGTTCAATAAATCGTCCATGCTTTGGGGTGAGGATAATCAAGGTGTCTCTGTAAATAGCCTGGATGCAATATGAGGGGAATTGTTTTGACAGTGGTAGATATTAAGTTGAGTGAAGCAGTGTGGAATTAAAATCAGAAAACTGGTTTTGGGTTCTGGTGATTGTGAATGTATGTACCTGTGGATGTTGGAACTTCTTGGCTGGGCTGAAGGAATCCTTTGAAAGATTGATTTCATATAGTAAGAATCCCCTCTGTGAATATGAGGGAAGAGTGCATGAACTAAGCCAACTTAACTGTATTCTTCTGGAAAATGGGATGTTTCTTGATAGGCTAGATTAGTGGTTCTTAAAAGTTTTTGGGGGTCATTTATCCTTCTGAGAATCTGATGAAAGACACTGGGCCCTCAAGTTGGAAGATGAGCATAAGCACAATCACATGATTTATACATAGGATTTTAGGAACTTAAAGTGTAATGAAATAGAGCCAATTTATATTTAGGTCTCATTTGAAAACCTTTCATTTTCTTTGTTGGGGTGTGTGGATGTTAGTATGAGTTTAAGGTGAAGGAGTCTATGATAGTATTTGAACATGTTGACAGGAGAACTTTAGGATCTGTGTTTTTTTATGTATTCTTTTTATCGTCTGCAAACTTATTTCTGCAGTGTTAGTAAACAATTCTGTATTTGCTAAAAGGGGAAGCTAATGTAGCACAAGTATCTATGGCTTTGTTCTTTGTCAGTATCTTTTTGTTCTCAAACTCTGAGAAGCGCGTTTTTTTCAGTTTTGGATTGGGCCTGAGGTGATTTGAAGCTCCTATCTTGAAGTTTAGCTTAGTTATAACAAACACTGAGTTAAGCCTATGCAGGAGACACAAAGATTAATATATGGTCTCTGTGCTTGAAGAGATGCTACTTTTCTGTGGTTGAAGAGATGATGTGAATTGTATGATGGTGGCAGCTCTCAAAAGGACAAGTAAGAGGGAAACATTCCTAGAAGTTGAAATTTTATAACCCAGTTGCAAAGACTTTTTGTCACTACTTATTCTTAGGAATAACCATAAAGTGTGTACACTCTGTATGGAACTTTATACTTTAAAAAAATATGTTTTGTATCGTCTGGTGTTTTTGTACAAAGGAACTGTTGGTTTGAAAAGAAGGCAAACATCATTTGTGTTCCTTAGCTGTTTTGGGATATATTTCCACAGTGAGTTTATGTAAAAAGTCTTAATGTCATTTTTGGGTATACATACATGTAGAAAGCCCTCCTGATATAAAATCCAGTAGCTATTTGACAGACTACCCATTAATTTAGTACTAGAAATTAAAAATAATTACTGTACTTTTAAAAGAACAAGAAATTGGTCAGGTGGGGTGACTCATGCCTGTAATCCTACCACTTTGGGAGGATAAGGTGGGCGGATTGTCTGAGCTCAGAAGTTCAAGACCAGCCTGGGCAACATGGTGAAACCCCGTCTCTACTAAAATACAAAAAATTAGCCGCATGTGTTGGAGTGCACCTGTAGTCCCAGCTACTAGGAAGCGGAGACACGAGAATTGCTTGAACCAAGAATTGCTTGAACTGGGACGGGGAAGTTGCAGTGAGCTGAGATCACGCCACTGCACTCCAGCCTGGGCATCAGAGCAACACTCTGTCTCACACACACACACACAAAAAAGAGCAGGAAATTCAAAAAGGTGTTTTAATAGGACAGATTATAGGATTCAGTGAGATAATGGAGAATTTTTAGGAAAAATGGTCTGTTAGTCCTTTCTCTCTATTGACATGGCCCCTGTGTAAGAATACTATGTAAATTTGTGAAAAGTTTAATATTTTCTCTAAATTTTTAATGGGTAGTAGGTTCATGGTGTTGTTTTTCTCAAAACGTACATGTGATATGTGTGTGTAGTGCGTATATATGTGCATGTATGTTTATATAGTTTATTTTTTTAATAGCGATTAGGTCTTGCTATGGTTTTGTTTTTGTTTTTGAGAGTTTCACTCTTGTCGCCTGGCTGGAGTACAGTGGCGCAATCTTGCCTCACTGCAGCCTCCACCTCCCAGGTTCAAGTGATTATCCTGCCTCAGCTTCCCAAATAGCTGGGATTACAGGTGCGTGCCAACACGCCCTGCTGATTTTTGTATTTTTAGTTGAGACAGGGTTTCACCACGTTGGCCAGGCTGGTCACGAACTCCTAACCTCAAGTCGTCCACCCGCCTCGGCCTTCCAAAGTGCTGGGATTACAGAAGTGAGCCACTGCACCTGGCCCAGGTCTTGCTATGTAGATCAATCTGGTCTCGAACTCCTGGCCTCAAGCCATCTTCTTGTCTCAGCCTCCCAATTTGCTGGGATTACAGGCCTGAGCCAGCATGCCCAGCCAAAATTTTTACCTGGTTACCAAATCAAAGATTTTCTCCAAAATGAACTGGAATAGCCTTACTGTGTTAATGTTGCCTTGGTGGGGACGCCTAAGTCTTGAAACTAAATTGAGGTAGTTATGACAGTTCTCTTTTTAAAGCTGATCAGTATTTCACTTGTGTTTTAGAAGTCCAGTGTACTTCAAAGTAGGACCATCTCTTTTTTCTCTTTTTTTTTTGAGACGGAGTCTTGCTCTGTAGCTCAGTTTGGAATGCAGTGGCATGATCTCGACTCACTGTAGCCTCTGCCACCTGGATTCAAGCGATTCTCCTGCCTCAGTCTCTTGACAGCTGGGTTTACAGGCACGCACCACCACGCCTGGCTAATTTTTGTATTTTTAGTAGAGACAGGCTTTCACAGTGTTGGCCAGTAGCCAGGCTGGTCTCGTACTCCTGACCTCAAGTAATCCACCTGCCTTGGCCTCCCAAAGTGCTGGGATTACAGGTGTGAGCCCCCGCACCTGGCCAAACCCATCTCTTTCATTAAACCACTTTATTTTGGTTCAGAAACAAGACTGCCATGTATATAGTGCTTAATTATGTGCCAAGCACTATTCCAGGTACTAAGATACAGTAATGGACAAAACAAGATCCCTGCTCCTCTATCTCAGGACTTAATAATTTGGGCATTTTCATTTTCCAATCTAGGATCTTTCAGTACTGTTACAGGATTCCTGAAGGAATTCCTGAAATATAATTATTTTTCTGCTAGAGCAAATCAATTTTTTTTGTTTCTGTTTTTGTTTTGAGATGGAGTTTCACTCTTTTCACTCAAGCTGGTGTGCAATGGCGCAGTCTTGGCTCACTGCAATCTCCGACTCCCGGGTTCAAGCGATTCTCCTGCCTCGGCCTCCCGAGTAGCTGGGATTACAGGCGTTAGCCACCACGCTCGGCTAATTTTGTATTTTTAGTAGAGATGGGGTTTCACCAGGTTGGCCAGGCTGGTCTCGAACTCCTGACCTCAGGTGATCCACCACGCTCAGCCTCCCAAAGTGCTAGGATTACAGGTGTGAGCCACCACGCCCAGAAGAGCAAAATTCTTCTGTTGACAAAAATATCTTTCCTCTGAGGAAAAGACACTATGTGCCTATGTTTTATCCAGGAATTCCACTGGATAGTTTGTCCTTTGGGATATCAGGGGATTAAATCCTCCTTTAAGAATGAAAGTACTCGGCTGGGCGTGGTGGCTCATGCCTGTAATCCCTGCACTTTGGGAGGCCGAGGGGAGTGGATCACCTGAGGTCAGAAGTTGGAGACCAACCTGGCCAACATGATGAAACCCTGTCTCTACTAAAAATACGAAAAATTATCCAGGTGTTGTGGCGGGTGCCTGTAATCCCAGCTACTCAGGAAGCTTGCAGCAGGAGAATCACTTGAACCTGGGAAGCAGAGGTTGCAGTGAGCTGAGATTGCACCACTGCACCCTATCCTGGGCAACAGAGCGAGACTCCGTCTCAAAAAAACAAAAACAAAAACTCTAACATGTAGAGTACGTAGATGTAGAAACAAAAGTAAAATGATTGTTGAAAAAATGTCTGTTTTTTATCTTCTAAATAGCTTTGTGTGTCAGAGATCAGAACGCTCATTTTACATGATATCAAGAAACAGAATGCTAGATGGCTAGAATGGTCGTTACTTTCCTAGATATCCATTGTAGAGGAACACATAAGGTAAAACAAATGAATAAAAGTTAAAAAAAAAAATGAGATATCCAAAGATTTGAAGCTCTTTACCCATTAACATGATAATCATTTCAACCTTGAAAATTTATAGAACAAGAGTCAGAACTCAGAACAAAGATCTCTGAGGAAGTAAAGATCAAACTGCCTCCTAATTTCTCATTTAGTCTGTCATTGGGCACTGTCAAACTGTCAAACTATATTTAGAGATTGTGGTTTTCATCTGGAGACTTAATGAGTCGTGTAGTATCTTGAATACACATATAAGATCTTGCCAGGTGGGGTGGCTCACGTCTGTAATCCCAGCACTTTGGGAGGATGAGGTGGGAGGATCACTGGAGCTCAGGAGTTCGAGACCACCCTGGGCAACATAGCAAGTCCCTGGCTCTATTAAAAAAAATAATAATAATCCTCAATGTAGAACTTTAAATTTATCCTCATGTGTTGCATCCAGTTGATTTGAGAAAATGTAATTTTGAATTTTCCATCAATTGCATTGGCAGTCCCTTTCAGCTTTACAGCTTTACATCATCTACAGATTTGTTAAGTATGTTCTCTTGGTCTTCTAACTCACTGATGGAGTTCTTAAATAGGTCAGGTCCAAAGATAGGGCCCTATGAAACACTGTTGGAAACTTGTCTCTGACTCTCTCTCTCTCTCTGTCTCTTTTTTTGAGACAGTGTCTTGCTCTGTCGCCTAGGCTGGAATGTAGTGGCACGGTCTTGGCTCACTGCAACCTCTGCCTCTAGGAATCAAGAGATTCTCTCACCTCAGCCTCTCAAGTATCTGGGACTATAGGCGTGTGCGACCAAGCCCAGATAAATTTTTTTTTTAGAGATATGTTGACATTTTGCCCAGGCTGGGAGACTTGTCTCTTGATTCCATTCAGTATTGTGAGGGTTTGGATAGGCCATCTACTTCTAAAATCATCGGGCCAGACGTGGTGGCTCACGCCTATAATCCCAGTGCTTTGGGAGGCCAAAGCGGGTGGATCACCTGAGGTCAGGAGTTCAAGACCAACGTGACCAACATGGAGAAACCCCATCTCTACTGAAAATGCAAAATTAGCTGGGCGTGGTGGTGCATGCCTGTAATCCCAGCTACTTGGGAGACTGGGGCAGGAGAATTGCTTGAACCCAGGAGACGGAGGTTGCAGTGAGCCGAAATTGTGCCATTGCACTCCAGCCTGGGCAACAAGAGTGAAACTCCATCTCATTAAAAAAAAAAAAAAAAGAAGAATCATCTAGCTCACATTTTCTCTTTGTTGTCTTCCTGTTAGAATTTAAGCTTCATGAGATTAGAACACACTCTCTCTCTCTCTCTCTCATTCTCTCATAGCATCTAAAACAGGGATTGAAACATAGTAAGTACTCAATAAATGTTTCTGAACAAATGAATTAAGGATAGCCGGGCGTGGTGGCTCAAGCCTGTAACCCCAGCACTTTGAGAAACCAAGGTGGATGGATCACTGGAGCTCAGGAGTTCAAGACCAGCTTGGGCAACATAGGGGAAACCCATCTCTACAAAATATAGAAGAATTAGCCGGGCATGGCAGCACACTCCTGCGATCCCAGCTACTTGGAGGGTTGAAGTGGGAGCATCGCTTGAGCCTGGGAAGCAGAGATTGCAGTGAGCCAAGATCAAGCCACTGCCCTCTAGCCTGGGTGACACAGTGAGACCCTGTCTCAAAAAAGAATAAGGATAAATATGAAGAATTCATCAGATGCCTTGTTGAAAACGTCATACATTGTCTACATGGAATTTCTCCATATTGTAAAATGAATCTAATTTATACCAACAACATGCTGTTTGGCTTTTTTGCAGAAAAGGAAGCAAATGAACTGATGGAAGATCTGTTTGAAACTGTGAGTAGTGATCCTCGAGTGAGAACATGGGATTGTAAGTTGGTTCTCCAACAAAATGTGTCCTTTGGTCTCTGTGATGCTCCCTCTAGAAGAGGGACTAAACCAATTCTCCTTTTAGTCTGCCTGGGAAAGAATATAATGACAAGGGAAATTTGCTAACTACTAGACTCTTGATTATCCACATGTAGGTTATTGTTATTAAAATTTTCCTTGAAGCTTTTTTTTTTGGAAGCAAAGTCTTGCTCTGTCACCCAGGCTCTGGAGAATACAGTGGTGAAATCTCAGCTCACAGCAGCCTCGACCTCCAGGGCTCAAGCAGTTCTCTCATCTAAGCCTCCTGAGTAGCTGGGACTACAGGCACACACCTACAGGCCCAGCTAATTATTTTACTTTTTTCTAGAGACAGGGTCTCGCTATGTTCTGGAACTCACAGGCTCAAGTAATCTTCCTGCCTCAACCTCCCAAAGTGCTGGAATTACAGGTGTGAGCCAGCATATCTGGTCCCTTGAAAACTTTCGATGGCTTCCCCTACTGTCATTTGGTGTGTCCTTAAAGATTGCCAACTAAAGTATTTTGCACACAAATAATTACCTTTTCTATAATTTTGTCTGAAAAGATATTTCTGAAGAGATTGATCATTTTGAGTTACCCTAGCTCTGTCCATACTGATACAAGTTGACTGGTTGAGCGACGACTTTCCCGGCATGATAGTCCTTCCAAATGTGGGTTTGTGGGAGTCCTGAAGTGAGAAAGGTTCTGATGTAGGCTCTTTCTGGGTGCCAGCATTATTAAAGTCTTGTAATCTGTAGTTTTCACTCTTCCTTTCCAATACTGGAGCAACATTCGAGACCCATTCCCCAGGAAAACCCTCCCTTCCCTTTGTCCACAGTTCCAAGATGAGATGGGATTCTCCAACATGGAAGATGACGGCCCAGAAGAGGAGGAGCGTGTGGCTGAGCCTCGACCTAACTTTAACACTCCTCAAACTCTACGGTAGGCTAGTTGAAAGACCTTGAGATTTGGAATAGAGGAAAAGTTTATTTCTGAAAAGGTTTTCAGAAGTTGCAGTTAACAATTTTTCATCCCCAACCAGCTTCTGTTACTGATGTAAGGATGCAGAGCCCTGTCAGGAGTTAGGTGTCAGGTGAAGTCTCCTTGGTATGGGGCAGTGCAGCTGTAGGCCAAGCTGTATCTGTTTGGGAAGGGAGAAAAAACAGTAGCTGGCATCCATATCCACTTCTCCAGGTGAGTGGTGCTGGAGAGGTATGTAGGAATTTATGTGGCCAGACACACAAACTACCCCATATTGTAATATCGAGTCTGTCCCTTTCGTTCTTTTTATGTGCCATTAATATTTGCTAAATGTGACTGAAAATTTGTTAAGTCACCTAGGCATTAGTGGAGCAAACCCTGAAGCACCTGCAGTAAGGAGTCTGAAACGTATGTGCTGACGTTTCTGCCTGAGGTTGGCACTTGTGTTACAGCATCCAGAAAGTAGAGGCTTTAATTTTTTCCTCATTTTCTGGTGGATTTGCATCTGCACTTTATTCTGTTGTAACAGCATATAATCATTAGGTGGATGGCAACAGGTCAGGATGCATTTTGTGCCGTAAGTGGAACAAAGCAAAGAGAATAGACCCTCTAATTAGTCCTGTGTTGTAACTTAACAGCATTACTAAGCAGAGAGCTTGAGATCCATCTGAAAGCTAGATCTTTAATGATTTTCTAGGCTAGTGAAAAAAGATAAGATATGCCAACCAATGTCTAAAAACTAGAATTACTAGTCATTCTCCATTACAACAAATATCACAGTACAACTACATCAAAAACCTCAAGATTGCTAAGTCAGTATTTGACCCATTATTTTAATTTATAGTTCATAGAACAAAATTATGGTATAGCAGAATGGAACCATTCATCCTGGGAATGTATAATGGGATTTGATTAATAAACATTTTGGTTTCGCTGATCAACTCTTTATAACTTCTTAAAATTTGGAAAGTGTAGAACTAATTTAAAATTCCTGTTAGAATTCAGTTACCTTCTGGTATTCAATGGAATATAGTCATATATCATCTCATGGTCATACCCTCTGTGAAATCTATCATTAAACGATTCGTCATTATGTATTAAATGATTCATCATTGTGTAAACATCGTAGAATGTACTTACATAAACCTAAATGGTTTAGTCTACTGCGTACCTATTGCTCCCAGGCTACAAACCTGTACAGCGTGTTACTGTACTGTACTGAATACTGTAGGCAGTTGTAACACAACGGTAAGTACGTATGTATGTAAACATACAAAAGGTACTGTAATCTTGTGGAGCAACCTCTGAATATGTGGTTCATTATTGACTCAAACATTATGTGGCACATGACTGTACGTGGGCCGCTGCTGCTTCTCTTTCAATTGCAAATACAAACCTGTTTTAATCTTTAAATAAAAATCCTGGATTCTGTAAGTCCATAGATAGTAAAAACATCTTAAAACACAATAAGGAAGAGAGAGGAGAAAAAGACAGTCAAAACAAAATCTCTGGGGCTTCCGTTATCAGTTATCTAAATAGTATTTATTAAAACTAAGTGCAGTCTGTGTTTCCATTTTCTCCTTTCTTATGCTTCTGCTCTTTTGTTCCTTCAGTGGTGGTAGCACAAATGTTCAAATTTTCAGTTGTCAGTAAAGATTGTATAGACAGTCCCATAGTCTTTAGGTTTTTACTCTGCTACCCAAACCCACAGTAGTAAATACTATAAAAGAAAACTTACTCAAAGGTAATCTTTATCTGCAAAAACTATTGAAAAACGTTACCATTTAACTATTGCTGTAATGTAGGGGATTCCTTGAAATATGATAACCTGCTTGTTACAGCTACTTCAGCAGATCTTATCCTGTTGCATAGGGTATCAGCATGTGCTTAATCATTTAGGTATCTTATTCTCCCTTTATTTCTTTCTATGTAAACATAGAAAAGGTACAGTAATCATACATAGAACTGACATGCTAGGTATTTGAATTTTTGCTCTAGCCCTGCAAACAATCTTTCATGAGAGTAGGAGTGGGAAGTTAGGGTTAGGAACCTTGGAAGAGGAATTTAAAGGGCCAAAAGAAGATAGCCTTCATGGATAGTAGTAGGATAGTATTTGAACTAACATCTCGGTTGTATTCTTTTGAACTACTGTGTATTTCAGTTATTTTGGTATATCCTTTTCTTGCTTCATGCTAGTAAGTCTTTGACTTGTTAAGATAGCAAGGCAGTGCAGCCTGAGTAGATGGGATAATGGGACAAGCTGGACCTGGGATGGGAGTAACAAGTAAATGAGAGAAGAAATGAGAATGATGAGTTCCCACCAGCTCCTTGGCTGCTTTCTTACCCATATATTTCTCTGTCCCTAGATGTTTGTTTTTTTTCTTCATTCGTGTATTATTTGGAAGAGGAATTGTAGAGGAATGGCATGGGGTATAATACAGAATCATATTTGATGCATGCTAACTACTTTGGGAAAAGATTTGTATAAGGCTGGGAGTTTGACTGCTGGCTAAAGTGAAATGGGGGATTAGTAGGGAATGAAAATTGTTCAGGCTGTTTGCTCATCATTGGAAAGAATTGGATGTGTTGTGAACCTAGGAAAACACTCACAATCCGTCATCCCCCTGTTTGGGATAGGTTTGAGGAACTACTGGCCAACCTACTAAATGAACAACATCAGATAGCAAAGGAACTACTTGAACAGCTGAAGATGAAGAAATCTTCAGCCAAACAGCAGAAGGAGGTAGAGGAGGTTAAACCCCAGTGTAAGGAAGTTCATCAGACCCTGATTCTGGACCCAGCACAGAGGAAGAGACTCCAGCAGCAGATGCAGCAGGTAACACTTTCCTTGGTCATGTTAATATTGAATTATACCAAGGCCTAACTCTGAGGCTTTGGTATAATCCAAAATTAACAACTTTGTAAATGTTAGAGATAGTTACCTTACTACCTATTAAAACTGTAGTATCTTCACATCAGTTAGAAG